ATATCGAAATTTAAAAAAATGAAGAATTTTAAGAAAAATTTTTATCGGAGAATATAAAATTAAAACATTAACGTGAAGGAAACAAATTATGAATAACTAATGTAACCCACCTGGTATAGTATTTTTCTCACAAATCTCAGTTTTAATGCCAAAACTATATTCCGGCGACTTAGACATGTTTATTTTTTCAGGACTGTATGTACCGGGAGCTGCAAAATAAATTATAAAATGCTTTTGTATATTTAAAAAAAGTGTCAATTGTAATTATTACGTTTATCCCGTGCACAAGTTTACTAGGCATCACGCTAATACTACGACATATATTTAAAAAACATGACACACATGATGTTTACACATTTATTATACTTGTTTATTACAATATAGTCCCGCATAAAGACGATCGTATTAAAATGTTAACAAACCGAAGCATAGCGATAATATTTATTTTATTTTTTTACTTTCTAATAAACATTATTAATCTTAATAATATTATGTACAATTGTTTATTTTCGCAAATGGTTAATGGAAAAAAGTTTGAAGCATTTTAATATGACTATGGCATGCCTATAATCGCACAATATATTGCATTCATATATAACATTTTATGATAAATCTAACAAGGAAAGGCTTCCAACTCAGAAATTTAAAAAATTATGAAATTTTGGCAATACATAGAAAGTATCCTGACATGTAATAAACAATTTCTTGTTTATTGCCCGAATTCATCCTGAAGAGGTAAATCTTTGAAAATAATCTCACTTTTCGACCTTTCCTTGTAAGAAAAAATGTAATTAACATTCTATTAATTTCCACCGATTACCTGGCGTATCGTTAGTCTTATACAAAGGCTTTCTATTACCGAAACTAAAATAAGATTTATGTTCCAAATGTTGAACTTTTTCTGGATTGTATTTATTAGGGCCTACCAAAGCAAAAAGAAATTAATGTTTTTTGTTCTATGTAATTATTACATTCTCATTGATATTAGATTATTAGATTATATTAGATAGTTTCTCGTTAATTTACACCATTACCTGGTGTATCGCGGGACTTATGAAGGGGTTTTCTATTACCAAAACTGAAATATGGTTTATGTTCTAGACTTAGAACTTTCTCTGGAGTATAATCGGCTGGACCTACCAAAAGCAATTCAAAAAATCAAGTTGTTTATTATTCTATTATTTTTTTTTTTCATGTCGCCCATTTATGTAGAAAACGCTAAAAGTGCAATGTTAATCTACAGCGGATTAATCCACACCGTTACCTGGTGTATCTTTAGGTTTATCCAAAGTTTTTCTATCACCAAAACTGTAATAAGGTTTATGTTCCAGATTTAGAGCTTTCTCTGGTTTATAATCAGCAGGGCCTATAGGCAAGCCAGTCAGAGAAATTAATATTATCTATTATTATTCATTAAATTCTTTTTTTTTGTATGTTAATAGTATGTCGAAGAAATGTGTGTCTCGATAAAAGTTTATCATGGTGATGTGTTATTCACCTGGATTGTCATTTAATTTTTCCGGCATTCCTTTTCCGGCTAAACTATACTGCGGTCCTTTGTCCAAATTTACTTTTTCAGGGCTATATGTGCCAGGTGCTATGACAAAGATAAACGATGAAGGATATCATCAATCGCATTTTTAAAAAATGTCTAAAACGTACCAGGAACATCATTAGCTTTTGAAACGGATCCTTTGCCAGTTAAACTGTATTGCGGTCCTTTGTCCAAATTTACCTTCTCTGGGCTATAAGTTCCAGGCGCTGCATACAGATATCATAATATAATATAAAGATATAAAAATAATAAATAAAATAAATAATTAATTAATCATTGATTATACCTGGTGTATCGCTGAGTTTATCTAGAGGAGTTCTAAGTCCAAAACTGTATTTCGGCGTAGTATCCAATTTTATCTTCTCGGGCGAATACGCACTCGGCGCTAAATATTTGTTGATATATTAATATATTTAAAAAATTACATATTTTATGAGCAGTTTTATATACCTGGTGTATCAATAAATTTCTCTGCAGGCCCTTTGCCAGTTAAACTATATTGCGGTCCTTTATCTAAGTTTACTTTCTCTGGACTGTAAGTTCCAGGTGCTACGAAGTAAAAGTAAGCATACACAATAAGAATCTATTCTTCTTCTGTACTAACAAAATCTTAATTACCTGGTGTATCACTGAGTTTATCCAGGGCATGTCTAATTCCGAAACTATATTGCGGTGTATTATCTAATCTTACTTTTTCCGGAGAATACGTTCCAGGCGCTGGAAATCACAATGTACTATTACACCTGCATACAACTTATTTTGGCAGTTCTTATAATTTTTATATATACCTGGCGTATCTAAGGGTTTTTCAGCGGATCCTTTACCACTCAAACTGTACTGCGGACCTTTGTCTAAATTCACTTTTTCTGGACTATAAGTACCTGGTGCTAAAAATAGATATATGTGGTAATTGTAACACTTAATTGGTGGTAAAATTAATTTTATAAGCATGTAATAAGCAATTTATTATGGACCTGGTGTATCGTTCGGTTTCTCCACAGCAGGCTTTAATCCAAAACTGAACTTCGGTGATGAGTCCAATTTTACTTTCTCGGGACAGTACGCACCTGGCGCTGTTAAAGAAAAATCCCTGTTGTATTTTTTTTTCAGAAAAAATCGAGATTCGTAAAACAGATGCATGAATCTTCATGTACCTGGTGTACCGTTGCATTTCTCTATTTGGCTTTTGCCGGTTAAACTGTACTGCGGACCCTTCTCCAAATTCACTTTCTCTGGGCTGTATGTTCCGGGTGCTATATATCAGGAAAAAAAATACATTATAAAATAAATAAAGATAGACGTTTATAACATGAATACGCATAGAGAAATTAAAAATGAAGTTTTTCTCTTTAAAATTGCAAGACGAGAAAGCATCATGTATCTAGTGAACAAAATTTTTATATCATAATATTTTTAAGAATTTGTAATATTTTAAATTTACGAAGATTCCTGAAAAACATCTTAAAACTTTTCAGATTTTATAAAGTTTTTAACCAAATTATAGAATGAAAAATCATTAATCTTTCAAAGAATTTACATACATATATGTATAAGAGGTTTTACAAAAGATGTAGACTTTTTAACATTTCTGAAGTGTTCTAATTTATTTAAAAAATTTAAGAAATTTTTGAAAAAGTTATAAAATTATACAAGAATTTTCAAAAATTCTGTTTATATAGAAATTCTGAAAAATTGTGTGAATTCCGAGACAAATTTTCGTTAGTATATTAAATTACTTGTAACTAGTATTCTCTGTAATTTTGTTTAGCAAAATTATTTGTATGTAGGAAAAGGAAATAAAACTATACAATAGAAACTTGCTATCTAATTAGGATTCTAATTTAATTTTTCATCTCTCATATTTTTTTTTGTATTATATACCTGGCGTGTCGCTCGGCATATCGAGCGACGTTCTAAGTCCGAACGTGAACTGCGGTGCTTTATCCATTCTCATTTTTTCGGGACGATAAGTACCTGGAGCTAGACGCTTGTCGATAAATTTTACAAGTTCTGTAGTGAATGGTAGTTTTCTATTTGCTGTCAAGTCTCTGGACGTAGAGAATGATATATTACGGTGTAAGATACAGAGATCTAACATAAATCGCGAGACATGCAATAGTATTACTTTATTTATTTACGGTGATAAGCAATACTACACTATCAACTTCATATGCGACTACGTGTTAACTACGCTATCAATTTAGCATTTTACACATCTTTAATTATCAAAAATATACGTTCTCTTTATTTACCAATTGCATCAATTGGTCTATATTAATCACACACAATTACTAATACCTACATCTTAAACGCCACACAGTGCATAGTTAATTGCTGTGGATTTTAAAAATTGAAATAGAATATTTAGAGGCAGAAAAGGGAATAAAAATTGAAAAATGAAAATTGTTGCTATCACGAATTCATTGTTATAATAATATATATCTTTTGAGAAATTTACAGTGCTTAGAAGTTTCCAATTCATTACACGTTCATATCACGCTAAAGTACGTGAGCCCTAATGTTTATATGTTTAAAAAAAATCATATTTTTGTACCTAAGTATCAATTCTTCATAATAGTTTTGAATATCGACTTTTGATACAATAATCCTCAAATGAAGTCCCATAACTAATCGCCAATTAGTTGCGGTAGCATTGATTTTCCTAAACATTATTGCATCGATATAATATAATAATATAATGTAGTAGATATATTTCTTTATATACATATACGATTTATGTAATTTATTAATTATTGAAAAATTTTCTACAATATTTTCTAAAGTTTTGAAAAATAATGCATTAATGAGAAAATATTCCGCGTGTAATCGCGAAACGAGAGAATTATTTCAGAGATGGATGAAATCAACTGACACTCAATAACATTATTGCACACACGATATTAAGCAATTTTAAATAACACAATTCGAAACGCATATTTGTTATAACATATAAATTCTGTTATATTAAATTGCAATCAACATGATAAATTCCTTGCAGCGATCTATTTATAGTCTTGTATTACTTTGAAGCAACTGAACATTTTTCTTATTAGTTTGCCAAAAATTGCTATTAGCACGCGAAATATTCGAATTGCGGCTACATTTAACTGACTATACATATAATTACCGAATATATTATTCGATCTTTCCAATACAACTTTTACGCCGAAAATAAATGCTGCTGCTTTGTACAGATTCGCGATTTCAGCGCAATAATCGTTCGGTGATCGAGATGCAATTTATATTTTATATATAAACACAATATGAGTATACGACGTAAGTGGTGCTTTTCGATTATCTGTTAAACTCGTACAAAATTTTTCAGTTGCAACAACAAAAATTTTATATTGATAATATTTGTAATAATTTGTGTGCAGTTATTTTAATGATTATCAGTCTAATGGCTATACATGGAATGACTATATATGAAATCATAAATTCTGCAGTATATCTTATTGCAATAGATTAGAGGATAATATATATATATATATATATATATATAATATATTATCCTCTAATTAGGATATATATATTGTCCTCACATTGGCTGTATTCAGTAGAAAATTCTTGTCTCTTCGCATGTAAAATTCTTTAATATGATTAATTTATACATTTAGATTCATAAGAAATCAAAAGCAAGAACCAATTGTATTGAAGAATTTTACAACAATTGCAAAGATGCTTTCTCTGCTGAACGGAGCCATTTATTCTACATATCATAGTCCATTAAATTTTTCTTTCTAACGAAATAATCACCGTAAACTCTCTGTAGGATTAGTTGTATTTTAGATTAGGATATTATAGATTGTAATATGTCATAATAATATAAATATTATGTTTGTCATAATAAAATCATAGATTAGTTTAGTCAAAATTCTGTACCTTTAGCGTTAAGTCTAAAGAAGATATGATAAATAATTAAATGTAGTAGATTGTAGAACATGAAATTACCCAAATAATGAATATATACAAATATACACCTATGCATATCTAAAATAATATACAAAATTATTCAGAACAATCATATGTCCTTGAAATACCATATTTTTGACTTAATTCTAAGATTTTTCTTTAATTAAAATTTTATCTGAAGCTTTTTAAATTGAGTTATTTTCGAACTAATTCTGTTATCAATAAATCAAGTGCATGAGTAAATCTGCGAATGTACGAAGATATCGAATCAAGGTAAGTGAATAAGAGAGTTAACGAGTGCGTGTGTGAATATCTCTGTCTCTCTTTCTCTTTTTCTCTCGTACGTGCGTCATCGCATATAGTGTAGGCAGCTAATCGCAGAAAGCATCCTGAATAATCATCTGTGGTGGACGATAACTTACACCGCTCCTGCTTACTTCAATTCTGTACGCGTTTCGTAATTTGTCAACTATTTTTTTCTTTTAATTTAAAAACTAAGCTCTTCAGATAAAATTTTGATAAAAAAAATCATCTTAGAATTAAATCAAATACGGTGTTTCAAGGACAAACAATTGTTCTGAATCATCCTGTATGTATAATATGAGAATGACATAACAACACATCTTCTATAAAAAGATACAAATATATATTTTTTAAAGAATTAATTCTATGATTATATATACAAAAATATTTATATAGTTGCGATATATATACCTTCAACTTTACGTCGCGTCATTTCAAAATTTTTATATGTCTATGTTATTGCCAATTAAAATCTGGAAAATATATCTTACACGTATAGATATACATATTTACATTTAAACTTACCGGGTGTACAACTGATCTTCTCGATTTGCGTTTTAACGCCAAAAGAATATTTCGGTGAGCTATCCAGAATTATCTTCTCCGCCTTTAACGGATTGTAATCGCCTGGTGCTGGTGTGATTTCGAGTTTCGTTGATTTCGTTCGACCATATAGCGACACGGCTGGTGCGGCATCTTTTCCTAAAAAATTGTAAGCTGTGATATATTATTATGATATTTTATTATTTGTTATTACTCAATTAATTATTAATTATTAATAATTATAATTTTAAATTCGTGTTTAAAAAGAGAGAAGATAAAAAAAAAAATGTACTATGTAATTAAAATAATATTTTAATTTTTAATTCTAGAACTAGAAATTTTTTAAATAGTATAAAATTTGTAAAAGAAAGACATAGAAATAATCAAAAATTAATTGAAAATTACTTTTGTGTGATTTAATTAAAATGTATTATCTAAAGCAGGTCGGGTCTAAAGAAATTGTACACGTATCGATCGTGCTGGTTCTATTCAAACCCGAAGCGCAGGAATTTCGTGAACATCGGTCATTAAAATGTTATCATTCTTATGGAGTATTGGTGGAGTTAGGAGTTTGATCGATAGAAGCTTGGCCGATGTAACTTGCAAGTCTTGTGAAGCAATCAAATCATACATTCATAAAATGCCTTTACTTCTCGTAATACTTTAATATTATTATCGTATTTCATTCATATATTTCAACTTACATACAGAAAAGATAATAATTATTGTTTATTATTCATTTCAAATGTTCTAGTTAAATAATTTAATTAAATCTCTTATAAGAATAAGTATCTAATTATTAATAATAGTTTTCGGAAAAATTTTCGTTAAAATTTTAAGTAAATATTTTGTCAAATTTTGTGTCATTTGTATACCTTTTGCGCTAAGCCCAGTGACATTATATTGCCCAGGGCCAGGTCCAGAGCTATTATTTTTCGCTGCATGCCTAAAAAATTTGCGATATATCAAACTATATTATGTAAAATTAAGTTATATATTGTTTACTCAAATTAAAAAAATATAAAGCATACTTTAAAGATGTAAGACGAAATTATAAACATGGTAGCTTTTCTTAAATACAACGTAATAATACAAATATTGCATTAAAGTATTCTTACAGTATTAAAATACAAACGAATTTTATTAAAGTAAAAGAAATTGATAAAACAACACGTTTCAAATTAAATTTAAATTTATTCACCTGCTGCCGAAGGAGAATGCTGGTGCTCTTCCTCGTTTAGAATCTGTAACTGTTTTTCCTGCAATTGTTACAAAGTATTGCTGTATAAAGTGTATAAAAAATATAATTAAAAGTAAGGATGTGTGATTTTTAAAAATGTGCATTACGATTGCAATTTTCCTTAAAAATCGCAATAAATATAATACGATTTTTATATGTATGATATATACATTTGTATTCAATACAGATATTTACCTATTAACGATGGTAAAGTTACACAGGCCGGTCCTGGACTGCTATATTCGGCGGCAATCGGGCCTCGTCTTTTTGTTGGTGTCCAGGGTCTTTGCGTCATTCCAACCATATTACTCCAAATTTATTGTACTCTACAATTGTGAGAAAATAAAAAGAGAATAGTCTATAATTAAATCTTGTAGAAAGGTATAATTGCAGATATTAAATATGAGGAATAATTTCTCTGCAATATAAAAATAATTTAAATATCTTTTTCTGCAACCACAAGACATATTTCAATATTTTTATTTTCCAACAAATTATCTTTGAGAAACTGTACCTATCGAAGATGTTCTATTCTCCGTGCGAATATTAATATTTAAATACGTCCCGGTTCTAAAACGCGCGTTTGTATTTTCAGTACTTCTCGAACAAATATGATTCTTTCTGGTAGACAACAAAATACGTATATATATATATATATATGCGATGTCCATGATTTATGCAATGAAGGCGACCTCGAAGTCTCGGGGACACGCACAGAAACAACTCTTAGCGAACCATATAAGAGCATGTCCATGATGGGCATTCGCTGCGATCACCCACCGCTCGAGTTCTGGCCCATGTCATAAAGTGGGTGAGAGTTTTAAAAGTGCCCAAATATATACGGTGGTTAATGATGATGACTCATGGCTTACTCATAATGTAAAATAACATGTTTAACGTATGCTAATCTTTGATACATAAATGCACATCTATGATGCATAAAATGCAGTGGACTGTAAACTTTGAAAATTCGAGCAATTAACAATTTTATCGTAATTTTCCCAATTTACAATAGTTCTTCTCTAAACTTTCATTTTCTTAAGTTAATGCCTGAAGAGGGCTCAATCCGGTAGCCGAAACTTGTACAATAATTTGAATTTAAACTGAGTTTGTATTATATATTTTTTTCATTTTTACTTTTCTTTATCTGTAATTTATTCTTTTAATTGTGTGACAATTTTAAAAATATGTTTGACTCTTACTTTGCTCTTTATTTGTTGCTATTTATTTTCTTTATTGCGAGATAACACTTTTCACATTTCAAAGTAATTTTACGACTAAAATTCTATTCAAAATGTAACATTTTTTAAATTTTAACAAATATATAGTTATTTGTTTATTATATTCTTCTTATTAGTATTGGAAGTTAATATAAAAGAGAACAGATTTTTTGTATTTCTCTGAATAGAACTGATATTTTGAAAATACATACATTTGCAGGCAAAGCGGCGTTATTTTTATATTAGATCATATTCCGATTTTAAATATGATGATCAATGAAAAAGTTCAAGGAATATTAAAAAGTTAAATAATAAACGTCGCCTACGATAAAATGTTTTATGATGACTGATCCTCATTAATCACACAACCGAGTATGGTAGACACCATCGAGTTCATTATTCACTTATACCAAAATTCTTATGTCATCATTGCGATATTTTGATAAAATGAAAGAGAGATTAAAAAATGAAGAGAAACATTATGCTAGAAAAAAATGCAAAAGTGAAAAATCATTGATATTAAAGCTATTTTTCTACTCTCAAAAATAGTAAAATGTAATAAAATCTTCTTTCTACAATATTTGTAATCAAATTCCCTCGTTGAGAAATTCTTTCTGTATAAATCTTTTTTTATTATAACATTTATTATTGGTTATTACTATTATTGGTTATTAATCGTTATGACGCAAAAATATTCGTAAGGAATATAAATATCGTTGAGCGATATTATTCGCTTCTTTTCCATCCGTGTCTAAATGACATCATCATGTAGTATATATATGTATACATACTTATGGCAAAAACGCGACTGTGTCGACTACTATGGATGTACTCGCGTATATCCATATCGAGATGACACGCAGTAAGTATACATATATCGATATATACAAGTATATACATATACGTGCGTATATGTAGCATTTCATTAGCCAAATACGGGAATGAAAGTATGGAGTAGCAATTGATACATAAGAGTATACAGATACTATAAATGTATGTCGTGATGTCGCCAAAATTGGAGGGAGATTGCGAAATATTCGTAAATACGAATCTTAGAAAGCGAATGATTCCTGTAAAGAAAAATCGTGTCTTTTCTTCACAGTTCTTTATCAATCCACAATTTATATATACACGATAAATGATGTATGAGATAATTAGTAGATAATAAATCATATATGTATTATTAAATTTTGATAAACTAGTTATTTGAAATATGAAACAATAAACATTAAAAAATTTTGTATTTAAATTAGAAATGGTCCATTCAAGTCCTTGTTAAAATTTTGTGCTAAATTTTTACTACATATATATTCAAGTGTTAATTTAACATAGTGTGATTATGTTATTTAAATATTTTGTATTAAATTTATATTTCATAATTTTTTATGTCAAAAAAACTGCAATTTATGAAGTAATAAATAACATAAAATGTTTTAAAACGTAAATTCTAAGATACATAAATTTAAAATACGTGTTAATTTAACACGTATCATAAATATTACTTAAAAAATATACTTCTACACATGTAATTTGTTTACAAATTGTGTCATTAAATGTCTGAAGCATTTTTTAAGAATAATATGTGACATGCATTCTCTCTTTCTCTCTCTCTCTCTCTCTCTTCATTCGATATTTAAGGACAATACGTGATTTCACTTGATAGTTTTAAATAATCTATGAGATAATGAAAATTATCCAGAAATTTGTAGTAGTAATAATAATGAATAGAAAGCTTATCTATATACGCGCGCGAAGGTCTTAGCACTACATAAATGCCAATTTCAATGATAAATATTTGGGGTGACACATTGTATATTTTGTTGGAAAAACTGGTGGTTTGAGTGAGACGAAGTTATTCAAAAATTTTGCATTACTGATAAGAATTATTAAATTTTTTATATCTTAATAACTATAGTTGAATTTACTTATAGTTTATATACGAACTTTTTTGCTTAGAATCATCTCTAAGATGAGTCCGACAGTTTCCTTGCGAAAGTCTAATTTAAGTATAAGAAAATGTCAAAAAATAAGGATTTGTAAAATTAAGGGAGGATAAAGAAAGAATTATAAAGAAGATACGAGAGGAAGATTTAGATAGAACGAAAGGCAAGATATTAAGAAAATTAAGAAAGAATAGAGATAATGAAAAGAGAAAAGAAAGGAGAGAAAGGGAAAGTGAGCAAGAAAAAAATATTTAAAGATATTTATTTACTAATAATTAATTAAAGCTTTGTGTATTAAATTTTTTTTTAAATGATGATTATTTTTCACATTTCTTCAGCTCATACAACATAAAAAAATTGTGTTTATTGGAAACCATTAAGTAACCCAAAAACGGACTTGTTGGCTTTTTTTTATAAACCAAGTTCCCTTTTTGGCTTATATATGCAGAAGTGCATTTTATTCTTCTATTTCAAATAGTATTTAAGTGAGTGATTATCGATATAAATAAGATAGACTTGAAAATCTAAAATTATAGTATTTTTTTGTCTGTTACAATATTAATAAAATTATTGTCTATATCTCGATAATCGAACTGAATTGATATCTTATAGTGAATAGTATATGAATTTGTTTTGTTTACTTTAGAATAATTTCTAGAACTCATTCTAGAAGTTCGTCGTTTCTTCGCGGAATATTCTATATAAAAAAGTGTTGCTTCCTGTTATCCTAGACGGATTAATAATCGCTATTATATCATTAAGGACATTATATTTTTCCAATATCAGAATATGTATTATGGGAAGTATAATTTTGCTCTACACTATCTTTTTGTTATTTACTATCATTTATTATATATATTTTAATTTTTTCCTGAGCTTTTGTACGAAATTACAAGTTACAATATATTCCATAATCTTCGATTATCACACAGTATTTAGTAAGAGTATTTAACATTATAAAATAAATTTACTTACTTAGTACCAGTAAAAGTCTATAAATAAGATAAGATATCCTTAGCGTGAGGTAAGAATAGCTGACAACGATTCTTCTCACAAAATGATTACGTTGACTCGATTACCGCCGATCGTATGTGTTTTATCAATTCTGTGCTGAACACAGATACGCACTTGAGACACGTTAACTTATGACTGAGGAATAAACGTCAAGGTATCGCGGCATGTACCTGTTTCCCGGATTTACATTCCCCACCTTTTGCGGCTCGCAATTTGATTGGAAGAGTCTGAAACTATAAGCGCCTGCGAGCTTGCTTCGCGTGCAAATATTGAGCAGATCGTCGCGAATGTCACATGAAGACTTCCAGTGCAGGGCATTTATCGTCGAACAAGTCAGAATGGATTTTAATCGGAATTATTCCGTTTTCCCTAGAAAATATAATAGAAATCTAGGAATAATTGAATAATTCCAATCGGCATTCATTGCGACTTGTTCTATGATAAGTGCCCAGGAATGAATCGGAAATTTGCAATAAAAAAAAAATACAATTTTATTAAATCTACAATGACAATAATACATTGTATTTGATTCAAGTTTCTACAATTACAATCAGAGCTTACAAATTAATAAAAATAGTATCAATTCTTTCTCTTTTTGGATAAAGAGGGATCTTTAGATTTTTAAAATTAATTTTGACTCGATTAAAAAAAAAATGTTTTATTAAACTAGCCTTAAAAAAATATTATAAATTTTCGGAATATAGAAAAGAGAGAATTTTTGCTTTCTAATAAAAATAGAGAAATTAATTTAAAATACATAATAATGAAAATATTAATATGAAAAATAATAATAATTGCATAACAATAATTGTTGATGCCCAGACACCACATAATTTTTATAGAACATTTACAAAATATTTATAAGATTTTGAATATTTTGTAAAATACTTCTGTGGTCTTAGATTGCACAAATTATAAATATTTATTACAAATTTTATGTGGTAAATAAATTACGAATTAAACTTCCAAGATAATTCAAAAGGAAAAATCAAATAAACAGGCAATTGGAAATTGGCGCTGTAGATAGACGGTGGGCAGTTCTTGTTTCTTTAAAATAATTCTATATTACATCATTATACTTATACACAAAATTTCAGTATATGGTACAAAACATTAATTATCCATGAGTCGCACAAAAATATGGAAAAACGTTCTATTGTAGATATAATAAAAGTTGTAGGATATCCAAGAAAGCTCTTTACGCTGTAGGCATAAATTCATTCTTGTTGTCTATTGAATAATATTAACTAAGAACAAATGATACTTACAAGTATTATAAGTATATAAACGCATTCCGTATCGAAAGTTTGATATTCTTGTTCAAATATCGATAGATATACATTATCAAAAGATATTGACATCTATATTGGTACAAAATATCATGGAAAGAAACCAAATGTATCGATTTAAAATATCAGTTTAAAATATCGCCCATCCCTGTAAATGTAGCGTTTGCTACATTTACAATAAATATTTTATAAAATTTGTAAAAGAAAAATCAAATAAACAGGCGCTGTAGACGGTGCGTTTTGTTTCTTTAAAATAATTCTATATTATTATATCATTATTTGTACATGTTTCGGCTATCCATGAGTCGTATAAAAATCATTGTATAATGAAGTAATAAAAACTGGAGATTTTTATTCTAAAATGAAAGAATGTTACTGCCACACAATGATATCGACTGTTACTTCATTATACAACGATTTTTATACAACTCATGGATAATCAACGTTTTATACTGAAATTTTGCTGAGGAAGGCTAAAAGATTAGCTGAAACATGTACACATAATGATATAATAATATAGAATTATTTTAAAGAAACAAAACGCACCGTCTACAGCGCCTGTTTATTTGAGTTTTCTTTTACAAATTTTATGAAATATTTATTATAAATGTAGCAAACGCTAAGGGATGGGCGATATTTTAAACCGATATTTTAAATCGATACATTTGAACTCTTTCCCCGATATTTTGTAACAATATTTATAGACACATTGAACAAGAATATCAAACTTCCGAGATGGAATGCGTTTATATACTTACTTACTTATTTATAAGTATCATTTGTTCTTAATATTATTTGATAGACAACAAAAACGAATTTATGCCTACAGCGTAAAGAGCTGCCTTGGATATCCTACAACTTTTATCTGAAACGTATCTTCCATATTTTTTTTAGATATTTGTCTGGAGCAACTAAAATGGGATATCCTATATAATGTCAACTAAATGTATACATGTAAAATTAATAAATTACAAGTCTCGCTGACAATTACGATCTAAAACGAGAAAGAAATCGTATGAAATTCTCATCTTCTTTCACAATTTACTTCATATTTGTGTGACTTTTTTTTTATTCGAGAGATGTAATAATGTTTCGTGAGGCTGAAAGATTTTCATTCGTAAAAGAACCGGTTGAGCATTACATATCAGCGTGAAAAGAGGCACTGTTGCTAGCAACGCAGCAAAGAAGGGAGAACATTTGATCCTCTTCTCCCTCTCTTTCCTCGTCGCTGACCATCACTGACAGAACGGGCGAGTCGACATAGTGATGGCTAATACGATAGGTGTTAAATAAGGAGAATTCTTAGTCACAACGCATTATTAATCATAAATGTGCTTGTCTGTTAATCCGCTACGCATAACACACTTGCTTATGGACAGCAATGTGACACAGCCGGAAGTTTCATCAAAGTGTATAGATAAGAGGATCCAAAATTCCTTTTTGTAAAGAAAATATGAAATTGATTTAATCTTTTCCATGTAGTTTCTCGATGCGCGATGCTTGAACAATGGAAGTGCGTTTTTTATATTGTATAATTAAATATTGTATTAGTACGATAGTGTGATCAAGAGGAGGAAAAAAGCTTACCTAAGTAGGTATGTACCGAAGAACTCTCTCTACGAATAGATTATTATACATGGAGTTTTTTTTTTATTTTAATTAATAAATTACAAGTCGTGTGAAGTATTGCTGAAAATTATTAATAATGTCAAAGAATGCTTCAAATAGAATTAAAAAAAAAATATATCGAAAATGATATTAATTAGTCATGGATAATTGTAATTGATTATTGTAATCATCGCATTTCTTACACTTCTAACTTAATTATGTTAAATTAAAAAAAAGATATTTAGTAAATAAATATTTTTATGCAAATTGTAAAGAAATCAGGTCAATAATCGAGCTAACTGCAAGATAGCTAAATTAAATATATAGTTAAAACATTTATTGTATAAAATCTAACAAGTACGTTTCGTGACCACGGATCACTTCTTCAGCATATAAAATTGCAAAATTGTTCTTAGTATAATATAATATTATTGATCTTTAACTTAACGTAACGTCTGAAGAGCCTTGTAAATAAAATTATTAGGAATGTTGTACATACTAATTGTTGGATAGTTGCTTGTCCAAACCAATTATGGCACTCGGTAGATCATCGGCATGCGAGTCACGGCCGAATGATTATCGACGAACTGTATTTATGTTTATTATTTTGTTCGCCGCTAGGCGCGTATTCATGCCCTACCGGAAGGTTCTCCTTCGTCACTTATTGTCCGCGTGCGTGCGAGATGAGTCGACGCGTTGTCCGAATAACACTTCTAACATATTCGCTCTAATATTCTTTTATTCCCAACACTAATTATTAGTCTCGAAGCAAGTGTTGAACTCTTAATCACGATATTATAATTGTCAATTCTTTCATTTGATCAGTCATCGAAATTTCGTTTGATAAGCGAATATCAGGTGATAATCAACATCAATGGTATAAAAGTTTATCAAAACCTGAAGAATCAACACATTCCAAACTCAGTCAATGAACACACAAATTCAAATGAAATATTTTTATATACGTAATTATATATAAAAATAAAAGTATTGGAATACTAGATTATAAATACTTAATAAATATAGAAAAATAAAGAATATTTAGGTAAAAATATTAATAGAATTTTAAATAGCCTATCTTTTGATACATTGAATAATTCGTATTTATATATATTTTTGTCGTTTTTTTAAGCACTAAAAGAGAAATGGGGAAAGGATTATTCTATCGATTATGTTATATAATACGAATGTAATACGAATTGATTCGATCTAAACACAGGAAGCGGACGTCCGGATGTACTTTTGTTATTATCACAATCAAAAAGAGATCAATGCAAGATTTTACTGGACAAATGACTGAATCTATTATAAGGTGATACACGAATAAATGAAAATGTCAGAGTGATGAGAACATTTGCGCAAAATAACGTGGAAGTCTTAATTGGCACTTGAATAAATTGTGACGGTGAGATCATGATCAATGTCGTTATATGAGAGGTCTCTATCTACGTAGTCGCAAAGTAAGCGACTTAAATGTAACGTAATATGCAAGCGATAATGACCTTTTGTGTTTTATTGTCTCGTTTTTACTGTCTATTTTTCATTCATATATCTCCATAAAAAGATTCTCGCATTAACAAAAAATGGAAATTCAAGCAATGAAAGCTAAATGGTTCTTTTTAAAACAAAATGCACAAATTCAATAGCATCTGCTACTGAATTTTATATTTATTTGATATAAAAAAAATTAATTTAATTTACGTAAATTGTACGTAAATAATTTTTCTAATTATTTTTGAATATTTTTTCATTTGCATTACTTGTTTCTAAAAAGATACAAACTAGATAAAATTAATAAACATTTAATAATAATTTCGATTAAGAGAACTTCAGTTATCTTAACTTTTACATAGATGGACGATATAGCGCCGTATTTTAAATATTAATATTTTTGAATTTTTTTCCCAACATTTTGTATCGATATTTTGTTTCGATCTAAGTATAAAAAAATTAATCTAATCATGGAAACATCCATTGTTATCTTGTGAAAAAAAAATAGATTTATGAATTTTTATCCATAATTAATTTCTTTTTTAAATTTAAACAAGTAAAAATTTTAAGTGTAAGATTTATTTTCAGATAGCAAAATGGATCTCGAAGAGAATTCCCTGCAGGAAAGCTTGCTGAGTGTCTACGAGCCTACTCTAGACAGTGCGCAAGTTTTTTATAAGCTACTATTGGATGCCTTACGATTCAAGAATTTTCGTTCCTTCAAAAATATTATAG